TCAATAAAAATACCAACAAGAGGCCCATGGGCCACATCGCTCACCTGAGTAACTTTGGCCATGCTGTTCTTTACCGTATTTCTCCTTTGAAGTATATGTACCTATTGTGATCCCTTCCTATCCCTGGAGGTCAAGATTTCAACAACTGAGAATCTACCCTACTTGAGCATATGTTTCAGCTTTTCTGGTACAGTGGTTCTTGAAAATAAACCAAATTTTTTTTTGGGAAGTGCTATTCCCAAAAAACACTTATCTCGAAATGTATGTTAGAACCAAAATTCAAAGCAAATCTGGTAGTGTCCATACCTAGAGACTTCAACCAGGCTAGTTTGGGTCAGGATGGACTAATATTCACTTACTGAGAAATAAACTTTTAAAATACTTAACTTGAACTGGGACACTGAAGCTGGGGGGGGGGTCTAATGGGTAGCATAAAAATGATTACATTGTGTTGAGGTGAGTTAAAACTCCTGGTGCACTTGTGCTCTTGTGATTGTCTAAATGGGCAACATAACATTGAATAAGCAAACAAAAAATAAAAACTTTCATATTTTTATCAACATATTTTATTTTTCTCGCTTTACTTTATAAAAGTTTGATACACATTTTTAAAAAATAAAAATGGTTTCCATTACCAGTTTGAACTTAGTATTTCATGGAAGATGTCCACTTTGAGAAATAAATATTTTACACATACATCTCTCATAAAAACACCTGCACCTTTGTACAACTAATAACAAATATTAACAAAGTTCCAACACTTTCTTACATGTCACATATTTTAAGCAAATTTTGGCTAAGTCCCACAATTATTTTGAAAATTTGGAAAAGCATAATAAATTGATATCCAATATTTTGTGCTACCTTTCCTGCTAAAACTCTTATATGTTAAAATACATGAAAATTTTTCCATTTAATTTTGTAACAATTTCAAGGTCATTTGCTCTGGACGATTATTCTTTATCGTATGACAACAAGCCACTTCCAATGACACCGATAAGAAAAAAGAACATTGATTAGAAAAAAAATGGAGAATGAAGTGATCAAAAAGACTTTCTTACCATTTTATGTTATTTTATGTTATTAACTTGACTGTAATATATGAGAGTTCACCAAAGTTCCAGTCAAAGTCTACATCACTGATATATCCAAAGAAAATTCCAACTTATTAATGATACAGAGCAAAAGAAAATCAGGAAAAATTTTATACAGTGTGACGATTTATACAATTATCTGACTTCAGAATTGAAAAGAATTTGAAAAGAATTTTGAAAATAGCATATTTTTATGAATTTACAAAAACATTTACAAAAATTCTGTCTTGAAATCTGTGACTTGCTAGTTGCAATAATAATGTATGTTCTGTCAATAAAGAGATATGTATCATTGAAGTTATTAAAATCTTAATTGTTTAAGGAATTAAGTTCTGATAAATTAAAGTTTCATTTCAAATTCAACAACAAGTAAATACAGTTAATCATTTTATACCCTTTGTGCATGTTTATACATAACGGAATACAATTTGTGACAGTCTGTAAATATATCACTAGGAGATTATGTCCTCACATCAAATTTTCAATCCAACCTTAAACAGTAATTAAATTCCTAACTTTGAACAGATCTGTATTTTTTTGAAGCTCTTGCTGAAAATGTTTTTGATTTGCAAGCATCAATATTTTTCACATTTTAATTTACAGAGTGAATTAAATAAATAAATGCACATTCTTTAAAAAAGAGGTATGTTTATAAAGTAAGTTGAACAGTTCTGCAAAAATCATAAATGCATATTAAAATAATTTCGAGATAATTTTCCTCCGTGGATAAACGGAATACACAAAACATGTGGAGTTCTTTCATTTTCAGGTAACAGAATTTATCACATTTAAACATTTGCAAGAAGGAAGCATATCTGTACACTTATATCACTGAATGTCAACATCATCAAACATTATACAGACATTATATGAACAATGCTATTCTACAGTTAAGAAAAATAGAAATCAGAGATTGCAACCTAAAATAATAGCCAAACATAAAGTACTGGTAATAAAATCATCATCAGGCAATATCTCAATGAGGATAAATTTTCAATAAATTTCTGACCTATCTTTTTTTCAATTTCAAAAAAAAAAAAAATCAATTACCAGGTCTTTGAGAACCTACTTTAAAAAAAAATACAGCAGAAAAAAAAATGAATTCTAACAAGTTTTTAAAAATACTACTACTAACCATGTCATATAAAAACTTTTTGAAAATATTGACGCAATACTGGGTGTTCAAAAACATAAAACAAAGTCATGTTTTTTGGCTGCATAATGCCCTTCATACAAAAATAGTCAACAATATCATAGAAAACAAGATTGACCAGTTTCTTAATGCTGCCTGACCTCAAGCCAGGAGAAGACAACTCTAGGATAACTATACCTTACAAATACATGTGTAATAGTAAATATTGATATAAACATGTGACTAGTTAATAAGAGAACCTTTGTCCTGTTATTGATACAAACTTTGCTCATAAAATATTTTTGTATACATTATTCAGAAAGAAATATAATAATAAAAACAATCACAATTCCAGGAAACCCAAAATAATTATCTTTTCAAATCTCAGAAAAATAATTTTTTTTTTTACAAGTTGCCAAGGATATTTTTTCCCATGTGTAAAGGTGAACTTGAGTGAAGTGTATCAATATATCTAAAGTCTTTACTGCAAAAAGAATTGGATTTAATTTTGACTTCTTGAATATCAAAAACACTTTGTTGTTGTTATTCAGCCAATTTAGAGATAAAACAATTTTTTAAAATTCCCTGAACTTATTTACATGTCATCCATTATACATGTTTACTTAAAATATTTAAAACACATTCTGGTACATGTATAACATGAATTTATTTTAACCTTTATTAAAAAAATCTCCCAAAAATTTTTCGTAACCTACGCAGCACCTAGAGAAAGACAACCTGGTATTGTGAATTGTATTTAGAACTTGACGCTAGTTTTGCTACGTTTTCTGCCATGGTTTTTTGTCCACTCCTTTGCTTGAGGATATGTGTTTATTGCGACATTTGTCCCCAAAAGAACACCCAGTGGTTCTCCAGAAATAACATTCGTCCCCGTTCACGGGCCCCGTGGTGTTCTTCTGGTCCACTGCTGTAATGTTCACTGCTGTAGAGTTCTGATATTGGGCAGCTACCGCTTTTCTGGAAATATAAAGTGAACACTCTCTACACAGGGCTTAACAAATAACATGGCCCGACGCCCAGGACAACCTATTTTGATTGGCAGGCAAATCATTTGATAAGTGGTACCTATCTCTGAACAAGTCCAATTTCCAGTGTAAACAAGATGTGTTTGTGAAACACTATGCACCCGGCGTCAACAAAGTTCGAAAAAGCTATTTTTAGTATATAGGTCACAGTCAAGGTCACAAGGTCATTGACCTTGGTGTTGTTTGTAAGAACTAAATTAGTGGGGTACAACATTTTTGGACAAAGTCGTTTTACCACTAAGAAACTTTCTTGTTAAAAATAAGAAAATAAACATGCACATTGAAAAAATAAATTTATGCATACTGATAAACATTGTACAAAATATAACCAATTCCACCCCTATTATAATTTTTCAATTATTGTAGTAGCAAATTTTATTTTTTTTTTTCCAAAACCTGTTTTATATGTATGATATCAAAATATGTGTTAGATTTACATATACGCATGGTTTGTTTGTATAAGTCCTCTGACAATCAAAGACTGCAATGAAAATCTTTGCACCAGTACTGATATTATACCAATACTTTTAATGCTAAAGGATTGAACTCTTCATAAGCCTTCATCAGAGTCTTTATTACATCCAAAATATTTGGTTTTCATACAGTGTACATCATGTTGAGGCACACATTGAAATAAATTCAACCTAGACATGATGCAGATAAATTAATTAATACGGTTGGACACATTTCCATATCCAAAATAAAATATACCTGTATTATCTCCTTGTAGACTAAAACTCAAATCTATGAAACATTAATTTGAAAAAAATATCAAAAGTTGCTTATCTTTTTAACATGTTTAACAAGCACAATGGGAATATATTTTTGTTACACCCTGTAGATAGCAAATTAAAGAAAGCAGATGCACTGACCTAGATATTTACCAGTGATTCATGACAAAAATGGAAGTGGATTGTTTCTAACAAAAATTCTAATCATTTTAACTTACTCTGATTTTTTAAGTAAAAAAAAAAATTCAAATACAATATTCCTTACATATAATTTAAGGAAAGAAATAATTAACATTAAATAGCCAAGCATGAAAAGAGCCACATTGTGCCCAGAGACATGACAAGTTCCATGACAGGCATTACACAGCTCCTTGGTCAAAAGCAAATAAGCCACGTAACATGCATATAAAGCCATAGTAGACTGCAAGACAAGAAGCATTAGTTGAACCTTAGATCTACTGCTATTTCATGTGCTGCAATTATAAATTTCATTATCCTCATTTTCAATATTTTGTCATTGTTAATATCCCCCTGATTTTAACTTTAAATGATGAAAGCGACCTCGAGATGAAAATTCTTCATCGTATGACAACAAGCCACTTCCAATTACACCAATAAGAAAAAAAGAACATTGATTAGAAAAAAATGGAGAATGAAGTGATCAAAAAGACTTTCTTACCATTTTATGTGAAATTTCCGAGATGTTCTAAATGAAAATATAAATGAAGGTTGAATATAAATTTATTTATTTCAGGATCAAATAGTTTGTAATGACATGTGGCATCTAAAACCCAACATCTTTTTTGTGGCAAGTTCTGTTAAAATTACCTTTCTGTGATGATTGCAAAGAACAAAATGAGATTATGAAAAGATTTTGTCAGATATATAAACATAAGTGCATATGTCAGAAAAGCTCTGTCATTGGAGCTTATGATTCGGATGAACTGAAAGGTGATTGAACAAAATGTTTTAAAAATGTGCAAGCAAGTTTGGACCTTTTTATAAATTCAATATACATGTATTCATATCACTCTAGGCATGCCAAAGACTAGCTTAATCTTGAATCCTATTGCTAATAACAAATTCATGAAGTCCAAGGTACTTACGTAAAAAGGAAGTCAATAAATTCATAATTTAGCATCAATTTATTTGCTTTCTTTTTACATTCTAAATATCCTGTGTGTTGCACACAATTGTCACAAATAACACTGGACTGATATTTTGTATTCTTTACTGTTCAACTAAAAGTATTTTCTGATAAAGACCATGAAGACTGATAGTGATAATTCAATACTTTCTAAATTAAAGTCTTAACAATCTATGGAATCTCCAAGTCCAGTTACATGTAAATTGAAGTATTAGAGAAAAACATATAAAGCAAAATGATTCCTGTATTTTGAATTCAAATGGAAGATGAACAAATCCTGTTTTGTCTATAATGAAGAAGACACAGACTTTGTATGAATTAAACTTTGTAAAATTTAGTTGTTTATGATGTAATCAAACTTTTTCTTTTGAAAAAGAGCATTAAAATCTAATGAAATTCAGCTTTGATTTGGAAAATCCTCTTTTGAACTCTTCAGAGTTGTCAAATCAAATACTAGAGTCGAGCACTTGAAAATTCTTTTGACCCTAAACCTGATATCTGCTCTACATACTACCATTAATTCTTTATTGCAATCAGAAAACAATGTACAGTGAATGCAGATTTTTAATGAAAGGATAATAATGGACGCAACTTATTTCAAATGATTTTATGTCATTTATATCAATATTAATCTTAAATTTGATAAACTTTCATTAGAACTAAACGATGCATATAATGATCTGGCTACGAAATCATGCAAATCCACCTGGTTTTTACACAAGGAAATAGTAGGAGGGCAGTGATTGAGAAGGCTATATATAAACTATCCATGTAGTGTAACAACACAATGATATGGACACACTTGAAATCTACATCCATAAATTCCTTAGGACTAGAACAACGATTCCTTTACTTGATATACAGTTAAATCTTTGCATCCCAAACCTCCATGTACTAAATACCATGAAGCAAGTTGGAAGAATCACTTATAACACAGATATTGATGTTTGAGATGCAAACATTCAACTGATTTCTGAAAGTGTATGCATGCATCAAGAACTAAGTAAAAATGTGGATTTTTTCTTTTATGCATTCAAAACTTCAGAAAATTGGTGAGAAGCAAATGTACAATTTGTGGGGCTACAGTAAAAAATAAAAGTTCTAGCAATATTGTTTATTAAACAAATGTACACTTCTGCAGTGTACTCCAAAAGTCTGAGTCATTTTTAAAATAATTTTTTTAATTTCTGTTTGCATTCAAAAGCTTACACCTACCTCTTTAGAATGAAATACAGTATATACATGCATAACCCTATTGTTTGGTATATACATGTATAAACCCTATTGTTTGGTATATACATGTATAACCCTATTGTTTGGTTGAGTCTTTGCCTCCTCCCCCTCTCCCACCCTCTATTACCCTATTGTTTTTAAGTCTATCCCCCCTCTTTAATGACTCACCCTACAAATGTCTGTCTCTGCTGGGGGCTACTGGTACTGGTATGAACATTTTATCTGTAAACCGATCTGTTACAACAGAAAAATATGAACAATTTACTTGTAAACTGATCTTTTACACCAGAAAAATATGAACAATTTACCTGTAAACGTTGCATGGCTTTCCCTGCAGCCTCCTTTGTTTTAAAATTTACAAAAGCACAGAATTTTTCTAAAGTTTTAACACTAGTAACAGATCCATATCTGATAGAAAAAAACTAAATATAATTCTTACTTCACATTCATAAAATAACTTTAGTTATATCTGTAAAAGTATTTCCAATTTCATACTCACCTAGAAAAAATTTTCAAAAGTTTTTTATCGTCTACTTTATCTGGTAAAACATTTCCGACCCATAGAGCTGTTAGTCCTTCCGGATTACGTGGGCTAAAATATCAGCAAAATTAAATACATTGATAAAATAACTAGAAAACTGACCAGTCAGCAAGGGCCCCGCCATGGGGTAGAATTAATAGGGTGCAGCTTACGCAATGATTAAAAAATGTACAAAGAATAAGCAACAGCAACAGCAATTGTATTCTTAAAATTTCAAGATAATTCCTGAATATTCAAAAACCTGTAAATATTATCCTTGTATTTACATTAGGCAGTAAAGATTACCGGTATGAAGCTTGTGTTATATAAAATGCCAGCCTTCAATGAATGCAAATATCATGAAGGCTTGACCTTAACTTCAAACAAACAGCAGTTGCAGACAAAGGTTTTCATTAATCTTTAAGTGGCAGATAAAGAAAAGCCTACTAAATTTTCTGCAACAGGCTAGATAATTAATCCCAAGGGATTAATTGTACCTCTCTCATCATTTTCTTCTAAATTTAAATTAAGAACTTTTTCAGTATTAATGATAGAATGGGGTTTTTATACAACTTTCCTAAAAATTAATAACATTATTGAATTAACATAAAGTGAAAAATAAATATATAATCTATTTTTTGTTATTAGAATATAAATATATATTATAAAAATAAATTATAAAAATTTATATTTAAATCCACATTTCATAGTGTTCATATTATATTATATATATATATATATAATATATCAATTTGACAGATAAATATATGCTCTGGATTTCTTCAGGAGGAAAGCTAATTAATCCCAAGGAACTCATAGCAGCATTCAGTTTACAAGGGGAACATCTTCAGAAGTTATCTCTCCTCGCCAATGCTTTCATATATAAAGTTAAGGAATCTACCCCACCACCCCAGCTCAAAACCAGGGGACATAGAGAACCAAACTTAGAATCAAAATATGTATTTCTGCCTACTGAACTACCATACCAACTTTGTACACGGGTTTGTTAAGGCAGCACATGGGTCAGAATTCGGCGAATTAACACTTTTTTATAATTATGTAACACTAATAAAACGGAAAAGTCAAGGATAAAACTTTTACTATAATTATGCATTCTTTAGACTTCAATGGGACTTATACTACAAGAGCCACTTCACCATGACCTCACCACGTGACGTCTATAATTAGAAAATACGCCTTAATGAAAAAGTGAAAAGTTCAACACTACCCCGGGGATAATTAATTCCAATTTATATCAATAGTTATGTAAAACATCTCTGCACCATGAAAAGTGCTGCTAGAATCCTACTGTCCTCTTATAGGAAAAATTATTCAACAATTTTGGACGAAACCTTCCCAAAATTTTTACATTTTGTTCATAACATCGAAAAAAAATGCATCAATTCCCGTAACCCATACGATTCTAGCAGCACTTTTCAAAAACAAAAGAATAAGAACTTTAAATAGAAACAAAAATTAAGTTGCAAGGTATGCGGCGTAGAGATCTCTGATCGGCAAGTAAACGACCGCCCTGCTTTAATTTTACGAAGAAATTGCAGAATTATATTACCATACCTTGTTCATACGCTTTATTCCCACAAGAATCACACATGATATTCATTCTAAATGCTTTTAAACTACGATTTCTTGTGTTTGTTTACTTCAATTCTCGTTACTTTTCACTTTCACACTGCTACTGCATGATACACTGTTATGACGTCACGGGTTTGGCATGTAACCCCTGTGATAACTACAGAGGCCCAGGAACGACAAAATTCCGTTGATATTATTACTCTGCATATTTTGGTTCATTTTTACAACCTCATATTAATATTAGATATCGATTTTAAAAAATTGTTATATCTAAATCTCACGTCATGTACCTTATTATGACGTCAAGTAAAGGCAAGTAGAATATTTGGTTGTAACCTTAACCTACCTGCGTACTTGATTGGGCAACCATAAAAAAGTTGCCCATTCATTGTTATGCATAGTTAAGGAATCTACCCCACCACCCCAGCTCCAAACCAGAAGACCTAGAGAACCAAACTTAGCATCAAAATATGTATCTGCCTACTGAACTACCATACTTAATTTCAACTTGATTGGGCAACCATAAAAAAAGTTATTAGAAAAAAAAAACAGAAAATTTGTGGACGGAAGAGTGACAGACGGACAGACAGACAGACAGACAGACGGACAGACAGAGTGATTACTATAGGGCTCCTGCAAATCCTTGCGGGGCCCTAATTAAGTCTTTTATAATCAGTGTTTATTGATACAAATAAAAACTACAGCTTTAACAAACTTACTCCAATTTGTGACATCCTTCTGAGCTTGGGGTTTGGGGAGGGATGGAGTGGTAAAACCTGAATCGTCATCAGAGACGTAAACTTCACCGCCCAGAGCATTCTCCGCTATATCCAGAACAAATAAACTTCGAATAATTCATACTCGTACAACATGAAGCACTATTTGAATCAAGACTACACTTAAAAAAAATTTGCTTTCTTAAAATCATTAAGGAACAGATGCAAAGTTATTTTTCAACATGAATTTACAGTATAATTACACAAAGAACATCTTTCTATTTTCTCACAAAATTGCATTATGGAAATCTAATGTGGCTTTTCAAGTCCCCTTTTTTAAGTAACTTTACACACTAACACCAGTAAGATTGAACAACAAAAAATAACATGGACTTATTAACTTACATAGCGACACCTGCCAGAAGTGAATCCAGAGCAGCCTGTACTGTGGAATGCTTTTTTATAACTTCTTCAGCCTGAGATCGAGAGAAACCCATTTCCTGAAATATGTAGTTTAGTGATAATAGCCATTCTCTGTTACGGCTTTTTTTCTTTGCCATGTCTGGTCACCAATTTTGATAAAACTTTATCCATTTTAAGTACATGAAGTACTTAATACCAGTAATATATGTCAACTAAAATTTTGCTATTGTGTGTCTTGACCAACTACAGATATAATCTCAATGAGACTAATCTCAATACTTACTGTTATTTGGTATATCCTAGCTCGTAAAAGTTCTTGTACAGCATCATCACAATTCTTGTCTAATTTCAAAACTTGTGTAAAGGCGTCTTCTGCTTCAGAGAACATCTACAAACAAACACACACACAGTTTTACACTATCCATCTCATTCTGGTACATCAAAACTGAAGGTTTGACCATGTTGACAATCCCCTATGTTAACAACTTACTCTTAATCCAGCTAGTGCTCTCCCTTTTCTAAAATATCCTTTAGGCCATTTTTTAGTAAGGAAACAGCTTTTTCAGCATCTTTTAATGCTCTGCAAAATAAGTACATGTTTACAAAAACCTGTGATATCTTTGTTACTTTAAAAATTAAGTTTTATTTCCTGAACATTTTTTCACACATTTCTTTATTTAACATTTAATTTTGAGACAACAGGTCAGGTTGAAGTTAAACAACTCATGAAAGCTCTCCTACCTATCATATTGATTTGTTCGATCATAACAATATGATCTATTTCCAAAAAATCTGTAAAACAAAAGAAACATAATTTATTAATAAAGTTGTAAGAATTGAGACTGAAGAAAATCAAAATGATGTAAAAGTAAGCAAATCACAAAATGACAAGATTATGGCCAAGTACGATTCTGAATAAATCAGAAATGGTTCTTACCTAAAATCATTGGGATCTAATTTTATGGCTTCAGTAAACAGTTCTATAGCAGATTTATAATGACCTAATTGAGCCATTTCATTTCCTTTAACTGGAAAGAGAGAATTAAGTTATAATCAACAAAGATATGGGACTACTGTTTATGCTGTTACTTCCGAATATCCAAATCTATCAAGATCAAAATCTTAATGTAACATACAGTACCAAACAACCAGACTACACTGTATTTAATTTCAATTTACATTTCTATCTAAATTACACCAATGAGTATCAAACAATGCCGTTTAAAAACACTCTTCATTTACATTTATTTACTGATTACATCAAAATTTACCCAAATGTTTGTGAAAGATAAAATGTTTACAAAGATTTTCTAAGCTATTCAAGCTAGTCCTGATATCTTACTTGCTAACTGTCTACTACGTAAAACGACGGGGTCTAAATCTTCCGTTTCATCGTCACTGCCGTGTCTAGATCGCTCTCTTTTTCCACCCGATTCACTTCCTGAGGTAGCTTTCTTTTTCTTATTAATGACTTTGGTAAAATATGCTGAATTAGGATCAAAACCCTGAAATGTCATTGAAAACCAGGCATCATTTATTATTCTTTAAAAACAGTTTTAAATTAGTTTCTGACTTATGTAAACCACATTTCCTTGCTTCATTTATTATTCCATGTAAAATGTAACTGAATTTATGCATTTTCACTCTTTCTTCTCATGTTAATATGCTCTTGTCAGTGAAAATATTTAATGGTAATCTCTGTTAAATAGTCATTTTGTTAATAAAGTGAACTGAAATGTCTAAATTTTATTCAAAAATTTGTTATATATGTTATTTTGTTAAAACATGTATATTTAAAATTCATTGAAAATAAGATATGTCTACACGTACACTAACTGCATCATCTGATGAAGTTGAATTGGCAGGTCTAAAAATAAAGGAAAAAGAAATTTTAGTGTAAACAAATTCATACTAATATACTGCAAAAAATAAAAATTCCTACTAAGTCTTTAGAAGTAAAACATTAAAGGTTTATGACTAAATTTCAAGACTTAGAAACACATTTAGATAAACTTCCACTTACTTTTTATCCCGTTTCAATTTATTGCCACTTTGTATATCTGTATTAATTGTATCTTTAGTTTTTGTCTGTCCATTTACTTCAACCTACAAGAAAGAAACATTCCTTTCTAAGTTTGCAAATTAAGCCAAAGTCAAGAAAATCATTTACCACAGAAGTTGTGAAGGGAGAGGATTTTTCCCCAGAATTGTACTTTACTCAGTTAGAATAAGAAGATATACACTGATAATAGAGAAAATAAACTGTAGCAGGTCAAGTAGTCTCAAGAGTTATCTCCTTGTCTTGGGCTTGTTCTGACCCGCCTCATTGTGTGGGAGGGGTGTATCAGCAACATGGTCTTCTTTTACCAATGCTACTTTCTTACCCTCCAATGACTCAATGATTAAACAGGATAACATAGGGGAAAATCTGCTGATGGAGTACAGAAGATCAATTTTGACTTGGGTGAGCATTGTGGTCCATGGGCCTCCTGTTTCTTATCAATAGAATACTAAAGAATATACAATAAGAGAAAAAAATCTGCTGATAAAAACAGCAGGATAATATTGACTCAGGTGAACATTGTGGCACATGGGCCTCTTGATTTGGAAATGGCGTGCAGCATGCTTCTGATGGTCTAACTTGAAAATACACAGTTGGTGGCATTATCTGCCAATATTTTAGGAGGGGATAAAAACCGCTTTTGCCAACAAAGATAAGGCCTCAGAACTAATATTAATGCATGAAATGCTGGATATATTTTCAGAATTTAATGTAGTGACACATGGATGCATCTAGTTTAAAGGTGCCTCTTTATTTTATGATTTGTTTACATCCACCTGTTTGTTTACTGTGCATTTCATGTAAGATGTTATCAGTTTAAAGTCCAAATCACTTCACAGTGCATAGAAACCTGAACTTTATCTCAAAACTAGGTCATAGGTAGGCAACATTCAACAAACATGGCGGCCAAAAATCCAAAATATCCACTGGGCTCTCCTCAAGAGCATATTGAAATGTGTAAAACTCATGATTTACCTATTGATATGTTATGTGAGGACTGTGATGAATTTATTTGTGGTAAATGTGCTAAAACTACTCATAAAGATCATGACTGGAGCACTATAACCACAGCAGCCACCCAAAGAAAGAGAGGCTTGTTAAGCTTTTTGATGAAGATCAAGGAAGAGGACCTTCCCGGTTTTGATGAGAAGATGGAGAAGGTGTCAAAACGGATGACAGAAAATAAAGAACTGTGCGACTCTGAGATCAAAAAACTTCAGAAGCATATTGATGAGATAATTGCCAGGTTGACAGAAATTAGGAAAAATAATGAACAAAGACTGAGAGATAATCTGGAGGAAAAAAATAAAAAGCTGAACAGTGTGAAATATGAGCTAGACAAGAAGAAGAAAGAAATAGAAGAGATGGTAAAGTTTATGGAGGAAAACAACAATACTATGTCAGATTATGGCTTGATTGACAACCACAAAGAACTGAAAAAATTACTGTCTGGCCCTGACATTGATATAAAGGACTGTAAACATTCATTGAGATACAGTAAAGGAGAAATCTGTATCGAGGTACTGGAGAATGTGATTGGAAAAATTCTAGATCTGAACAATATCAGTCTGACTGAAACAAACTCATTCAATAATGGAATAAGATTAATACTTATATTGGAGGCATTGTGTGAAGATCAGTGTTACAAAAAACAATCAGGGTCCGATAAAATTGAACAAGTAAACAAAGAAGGTGAAATAAAACAAAGATATTATATCACTGCTAATGACATGTGTGTGACTGATACTGGTGATGTTTATTTCACTAACTATTATAACAGTTCCATCAGCTGTCTGTCTTCATCAGGATCTGTGTCTACAGTCGTCAAATTAGATCCACTGGTACCAGGAGGAATCTGTCAGTCAGTGGATGGTGGACTACTGGTCACCTTGGCAGATAATGAATCAGATGATTACGAATTAGACTCACACAGCAGACGTCTGGTGAGACACATCACAGTGACAGGTGATGTCATCCATGAGTATGAGTACCAGGAGGACGGTCACATCAGACTATTTACATTGCCAGACAGAGTCACACAAAACAGCAACAGTGATATCTGTGTTGTGAACCTTACAAGTCCAACTACAGGTGAACTAATGATTCTGTCTCCCTCTGGTCGTATGAAGTTTGTTTATCGTGGACAGAACCTGACAAAGGACTTCTGTCCAACTGATGTAGTGTGTGATTCCCTCTGTAACATCCTTGTTACTGACCCACCTAACAAACAGATTCATCTGCTGAGTCCTGACTGGGAGTTCCTGAAGTTCTTACTAACAGAGAATGGAATGAACCTTCCTATGAGATTATCCCTATACAAGTCTACACTGTGGGTCGGATATTTTGAAGGAGCTGTCAAAGTGTTTCAGTACAGAATGCAATATACTTGAATTGCAATAAATTGAAAACATACATGTATTTCAGAGAATTCTGCAGGGGTAGACAAATAGAATTTTGCCGTTCTTGCCCTCGGACAGGTTACCATTGTAAAACTACTTGTCCTACCAAAAATATGCTTGTCCCATCTTTTTCTAAAAGTACACAGTAAAGAAGCATTGATATAAAATTATTTCTTAAGAAACTTGTGATGAGTGAGACACTTAAACACTACACAAAGACCATCCTAGATCAAAAATCACGAAATTGTTCCACAGATAAATTTAGAGAAAAATTTTGTATTTTAAGGGGTATTCTTCCTCAAAATTCAGCAATTAGATACACCTTTTTATCCCATGTTTACACCTTTATCCCGTGGATATAGCTCATGGGATATCGTTTTCATATCCCACAGTTATGACGTCACAATGGTTTTTGCGTTGAGGAAGTAAAATATAGCAGAATCCTATATAAAACAATGTTAAACATCGGTTGTGAAGTATTAAACATGGGATAAAAAGAATCTCCCATGTTTTGTAGTTGAATATGAAAATTTATCCAACTTGTTGTGTGTTTTTATCCCCTCGCCAAGGCTCGGGGATAAAAATCACACAACTCGTTGGATAAAAATCATATCCAACTACAAATCATGGGAGATCCTATATTTAAAAATCAATGTTGAACTTATTTAATGGAAAAAAGTAAAGATATCAGACAGTGATCAAATTCCACATGAATTTGAACTACCTTATATATATTTGATTCCGAAACTTCATAAGAGTCCTTACAAACAAAGATACATTGCAGGTTCCAGTAAATGTTCAACCAAGCCTCTTTCGTTACTTATCACGAAAATATTGACAGTAGTGAAGGAAAAACTTCAAGAGTACTGTTCAACTATATATTCAAGAAGTGGTGTAAATCAGATGTGGATGCTTAAAAATTCTAAAGAACTTTTGGACAATTTAAAATCACAAGACTTTACAAAAATCAACAGCATAAAAACTTACGACTTTTCAACTTTATACACAACAATTCCCCACGACAAATTAAAATCCAGGCTTTTTGATATCATTGACAGCTGCTTCTTCAACAAAAATGGAACTCGTAAGTTTACTTACCTCGTCATTGGTCATTTGAAAAATTATTTTGTTAAAACAGACTCTGATTGTACACATAAGTACTCTGAAGTAGACATCATGAAGATGCTTGAGTTTCTGATTGACAATATCTATGTGGTTTTTGGAGACCAGGTATTCCAACAATCTATTGGAATTCCCATGGGTACAAATTGCGCTCCGTTATTAGCAGACTTATTTTTATATTCATATGAAGCAGAATTTATGCAAAATCTTTTATGTGAAAAGAAGAAAACACTTGCTGTGGCCTTCAACTCGACACTTAGATATATCGACGACGTATTGTCTATTAATAATGATAATTTCCATTCCTACGTCGACACGATATATCCTGGTGAGCTTGAAATAAAAGATACCACAGAGTCCGACACTTCTGCTTCATACTTGGATATTTTACTTGAAAAAGACACTAATGGTAATCTAACAACCAAGCTATATGATAAACGTGATGACTTTAACTTTTTTATCGTCAACTTCCCTTACTTATGCAGCAATATACCTTCATCACCTGCATACGGAGTATTTATATCTCAGTTGATTCGATACGCAAGAGCATGCTCTACGTATGAACAATTTCTTAAACAAGGTAAATTATTGACAAGCAAGTTGATGAAACAAGAATATCAACAGTCTCGTTTAAAGTCATCATTTCGTAAATTCTATGGTCGATACAATGACCTTGTCAGCAAATACAATTTATCATTGAATGAAATGCTGACTGACGTTTTTCATACCAATTGTTAGTCCATTATTTATACACTGAATTGACCACGGATTTTTTTCCGTTATATCCTGATTATGACAACGAGCACACGGCGGGTGTGACCGGTCAGCAGGGGATGCTCACTCCTCCATGACACCTGATCCCACCTCTGATGTTTCGGGGTCCGTGTTTGCTCTGCTCTTATTTTGTATATTTGTTTAATGG